AAAAAAAAAAAAAAAAAAAAAAAAAAAAAAAAACCTACTTGTAGTAACGATTGAAGACTTTCGTATTGTTCATCATTTCCCCAAGTAGCTCGTCCCAATCCCTGGGCAGGAGTGATGGCATACCGAACGCCCCCTGTGCGCTATACAATTTCTTCCAAGTTGGGAATCCCCTGGCATTGGCCTTCTGCAGATTCATGATCCAGGTCTCATGATCAACGACCTGCCTCGTCGACGACCCTTGATCATCGTCGACGTAATAAATCCTGTATCCAGGATTGAGATTGTCATATGGCGTCACTGACGGCCCTACGTATGCTACACTGACTGGACGAGTGAGATCATCAGTGTCGTAGAACAATTCAAATTCGTCGTAGTGGGTGTGGCCGAAGAATTGTGCAGTTATTGTTGACTCGTATCTGTGAAAATAATAATTTAATGGAAGATGTAATTGATCCAAACAAAGGAGAGACTGAAGAAAAACTCAAAATATCGTGGTTGAATTCTCACTCATCATCAATTATGTTCAATCACCTGTTGATGATCCTGTAATAATTGGCAGACCAGATTTTGAGACACTCAGAGGTGCCTGGTGGCATGTGTCCAATGATGTGCACCTTCTCGCTTCTGTTCTCCGCCCCTTGAAGCTCATCAATCAGCCACTGGAGTTCATTAGCCGGATCTGTACTATTCATCAACAGCCAAAAGTTCTTATCATTGCAGTAATTCGTGTTGACCGAAATTATTCGGAAACCAGGTCTGACGAGCACCGAGTAGAAAGCACCGCGCTTGACGGTATTGGAGGCATCTGTTGGTAGCCATCGTCGCCACTGATTATCCAGTTCATCGTACAGCCAGGAGACACTGAAATCCGATGGAGCCAATTTCGTGGGAAAACTGTTCACTGGGGCAGACTCGTGATTACCGAGGGCCGGGAAAATCGTCACGTTTGGAAAGGATTTTTTCATATCTTCCATTATATTTCGGAGGATTTGGAGGTTCCCTTCGCGGGTCTGATTCCAAATGTCGTGAGGGGGGAGATCACCTGTCCAGAGAATATAATCAATATCCTAGAAGAAATTCACATAATTTGTTTGGATAAATTGAGCTGGATTCGGAGAATACTGTGAATGAACATTTGAGGAAAAAAATTTGGTGACACACTGAGAGGAAAAATTAGCTCTGCCGAAAGACTATACGTTCCACGCGAGAATACTACTACGAAAATTATCATGTTTTGGTGGAAACTTTATTTTTTGTCCTCAAGTAAATTGATTCAACACGACAAAAGACCTCTTCAGGGGAACATAATTTTTCGGCAGAAAATTTTTTTTCTCTCAGTGCAATTTCCGTTCAGATTTCTATTTGAGCTTTTATACCCGATCACTTACGGAGTGAATAATCTGTATGTGCTTGAGCATGTGATCAATTGTTCTTTTGGGGGTGTCACATCCCCGGTAATCGCCCCATTTTCCCGCGGCGTCTTCAGGAGTCGCTGGTTTTCCATTGATCGAACGACAGCAGAGGGGATTGCCGCATTTGGCATTCGATCCTTCCTGATAATACGGATCGTAATGAATGTCCGAGAGCTGCAGGACTTTCAGTCTTTTGGCTCCCACTCTCGGCGGACTTGGAACAGTCACCGGAGGCTTTGGAATAGGTGGAAAGGTCACTTGCCACTCGAGCAAGGAGTCGGGCACATATTCGCATTCACCACTCATCACAAAACTGCAGGTGCTGTCAGCTCCCATTTTTGTGTTCTTGAGGATGTAGTATACCTGAGGCTGCGATGAATAAATCATGTTATTTAAGGGAAATAAACACGCATTTGGAGGCTGAAGGAAGGTGTTGAGAAGTCGTCGAAGGACTCAGGGCCAACAATCAGGAAATTCGTGATGAATGAAGTGGTTTTTTATCATTTGATGGTCATTCTTTGTTTAAGTGGTTTAAGACCATCAGTTTTCGAGCCATTTTATTTGATACGAAATTCCCTACATTTGTCACTCTGGATGTCCCGATGACTTCTCAATAGTTTTCGAGATATTTCAATTGACAGTGGGTCATTGTAGCAACAGCGAGAGCACCCTCACTCGAGAGTGCATCTGTTGTGCGTGAACACATGACTGTGGGCATCGCATTCTCTCCATGCGCAGTGGTCGACTGCGCAAATTCCGTTGAGTTTTTTGACATGTGAAATTCAAAGAGAATTAGAATTTAGAGAGAAAAAATCCCGCAGCGCGCAGCCGGGATTCGAACCCGGGACCTCCCAGTTACGCGTCGGTTACTCTTCCAATTGAGCTACCGGGACCTACGGAAATTTTCTCTCTCCAAATTCGCCTCACAACACCGTCTAACCATCTTCAGGCATTAAATAAATTCAAAGAGAATTCAGGGATTCCTCTACCACGAAATTTCGATAACGAGAGCTAAGATGTTTGCATCCTGACGTCCACATCCTGAGAACTACGATTCGCAGAGATGAGAGTTGGAAACCATTTTATTCGATATGAAATTCCCTACATTTGTCACTCTGGATGTCCCGGTGACTTCTCAATAGTTTTCGAGATATTTCAATTGACAGTGGGTCATTGTAGCAACAGCGAGAGCACCCTCACTCGAGAGTGCATCTGTTGTGCGTGGACACATGACTGTGGGCATCGCATTCTCTCCATGCGCAGTGGTCGACTGCGCAACTTCCGTTGAGTTTTTTGTGACATGTGAAATTCAAAGAGAATTAGAATTTAGAGAGAAAAAATCCCGCAGCGCGCAGCCGGGATTCGAACCCGGGACCTCCCAGTTACGCGTCGGTTACTCTTCCAATTGAGCTACCGGGACCTACGGAAATTTTCTCTCTCCAAATTCGCCTCACAACACCGTCTAACCATCTTCAGGCATTAAATAAATTCAAAGAGAATTCAGGGATTCCTCTNGGGACCTCCCAGTTACGCGTCGGTTACTCTTCCAATTGAGCTACCGGGACCTACGGAAATTTTCTCTCTCCAAAATCGCCTCACAACACCGTCTAACCCCCTTCAGGTATTAAATAAATTCAAAGAGAATTCAGGGATTCCTCTACCACGAAATTTCGATAACGAGAGCTAAGATGTTTGCATCCTGACGTCCACATCCTGAGAACTACGATTCGCAGAGATGAGAGTTGGAAACCATTTTATTCGATATGAAATTCCCTACATTTGTCACTCTGGATGTCCCGATGACTTCTCAATAGTTTTCGAGATATTTCAATTGACAGTGGGTCATTGTAGCAACAGCGAGAGCACCCTCACTCGAGAGTGCATCTGTTGTGCGTGGACACATGACTGTGGGCATCGCATTCTCTCCATGCGCAGTGGTCGACTGCGCAACTTCCGTTGAGTTTTTTGTGACATGTGAAATTCAAAGAGAATTAGAATTTAGAGAGAAAAAATCCCGCAGCGCGCAGCCGGGATTCGAACCCGGGACCTCCCAGTTACGCGTCGGTTACTCTTCCAATTGAGCTACCGGGACCTACGGAAATTTTCTCTCTCCAAATTCGCCTCACAACACCGTCTAACCATCTTCAGGCATTAAATAAATTCAAAGAGAATTCAGGGATTCCTCTACCACGAAATTTCGATAACGAGAGCTAAAATGCTTGCATATCAAAAAAATTCATAATGTTATTCATTTCAGTGGATCTTAAATTAAGATTCTTAACAATAGTTTAAATAATGGGATGTTGGAATAGTTGTTCGTCGATCCTTTGCCATCTAGGAAAACATTTTTCTCATGAAAAAAAAATAAGAAATTGGTCTCCTACTCACCACAAATTCCTCGACGATGCCTTGACAAACCTCCACAGGGAGACGTGCCTTGCATCCGTCGTAAATTGAATCCTTCATAACATCCCTAGCAAACTTATCACTGATGGGACTCAAGCCACGAATCATGTTTTGTACAAAATATATAGCAGCATTACAGCCGAAACAGTTCATATTATTAAATATTGACCCGAATTTTTTGGCATTTGATGGTCGGTGGAACTGGCTCGACCATTTCTCATCTTCCGCGGTCCAGACTAATCTGGAATAGTTCACCTGAAACGTCGCTTGTGAGAGAGTTCGATCGAATTATTCACTCTGAAAAATAAGGAAACTCACCTTGCTCGTTCCATCAATGGGAGTCGCGGAAATCGTTTGCAAGGCAGCACTCTTGAAGGCCTCTTTGGTCTTGGTTCCAGAGTCCTCGTTCAGTCGCCTTATGACAACTCCTAACAAAAAATTCGGTGGAATCAGTCATTTTTCCATTTTTCGTTCAAGTTACGTTTTTTATCTTTTCGCTTTGAAATTTATCCTCGATTGATAGATAAGATTCTGGCCGTTTCCACCGTCACGACCCTTATATGTTATTTCTTTCTGACCTTCATTGGACCCCTGACCCTCGCGACCCTTATAGAGGTAGAATATATCTCTCTACATTATAAAAATCCAAATCGACTTCTGGTGATACAAATTTGGTACTAGAAATTAAAAGTCACAAGGGTCATGAGGGTCAGAATAAGGATCACGAGGGTCAAAATAGGGGTTATGAGGATGAGAATAAGGGCCACGAGTGTCAGAGTAAGGCTCACAAGGGTTGGAATAAGGATCACGAGGGTTAGATTAAGGGTCAAATTAAGAGTCCAAATAAAGGTCACAAGGGTTAGATTAAGGGTTATGTGGGTCAGATTAAGGGTCGCAAGATTGAGGGTCACAAGGGTCAGAGTAAGGGTCCAAATAAAGGTAACAAGGGTCAGATTAAGGGTCGCAAGATTAAGGGTCACAAGGGTCAGAGTAAGGGTCCAAATAAAGGTCACAAGGGGTATAATGAGGATCACGAGGGTCACATTAAGGATTAGAATGAGGATCATGAGGGTCATATATGGCGGTTGGCGAGCGGAGCGAGCAGGGGGCGTAGCCCCCTAGCAAGATTCTGATCATTGTAAAATTAAGGCTTGTGATCGTTTTTGACCGTTAAATGTCTTTTTGTTTTTTTATAATAAACTCTGATCTTCATGGAAAAAAACACCTTATTAATTTGTACACCTAATATATCCAAATGTTGACTAAGATTTCTTGACATTTTTTCCTTGAAAATACATACCTAATAAGATTTTCATTTTTATGGCGAGAGCATAAAAAAAATTATGGTTTGTGTTCTCACCTGAAGTGTGTGAAATCACGGCTAGACAAAGGAACAAAATGCACTTCCAAAAATTACCGCTTTTGTTCATCATGATATTGTTGATGTATTCCAATCGAAGGGTTCTCTGCAACAAAGACACTTCTAGTTGAAAGTAAACATTCAACTGAAGCTAACAAATAAATTTTGAACATTTTCAGATAGTTCTTTCACTTTTCCACGAATATCTCGGGATCGAAGGGAGATAGCGAAATTTTCACTACCACCTTTTTTGTAGCTCTCAGTTCGCCCTTCAAAAAAGGTGATAACAAAAAATTTTTCATCTGCCTTAGTTTCCGAGATATTCATCGAAAACTGAGCAATAGTCAAAATCGACTTGAACCGTTTTACCGCTTCGCTAGTGAATTATTTCACGAATTACCAAATTGTTTGCGTTGTATGACGACTTCATATTAACGAAATATTAAGGTATTTATGTAATTATTTTTTACCTCGAAATGATTATTCCCGCAAAAATAAAATGACCGGAGTTGCGGATTTTCAAGGAATTCGCTTCAGCATTTCACGGTTGAATATCAAATTTTTATTATTGGAGAGTGTTTTGTGTCTCTGTTGAGTCTCGGCTGACTGTTACGCGAAACTGAGTGTTATTTTCGTTGGGTAAGCGATAGGGTTGGGGTCAGGTAGAAGAGTCCCATCGTTTGGGCCTCGCTTGGTGAAGAGAGAGGCACGAGCTACAGTTACTGAATCGGAGAAAATATAGCGCATATTTCGAAGGCTACTGTTCACCTTGGGAACAATGGGACATGTTTGATGTTACGGTTTGAATAATGTTATTGTTATTCGTTTACTGAGAAGTCAGTCTAGACCGAATTAAAATCCAGAAAATTTTTTCATTAAAATCAAATAAAAATCTTTGTTTGAAATTTTTTACTTGTTTTAAAAGAGAGGATTTAGTTATATCAAATGAACAATTTATCAATTGCGAATGAAATTTTTATTAAATTGAAGGAAACAATTTATTCATTTCAAATGAAGAGTTCTTATTTTAAGAAAATCACATTTTCATGTATTTTGTAAAGGGAATTCGAAATGATGTTGCACTTCGCCTCATTCGCCCCTAATAATTATTGCATTTTTCTCTTGCAATTTTTTTTTGGCAATTTCAATTTTGGAGCGATAATAAATTATTAGTATCAAATAAATTTTTGTTACGTTCGAAGAAAAAATGTATTTATTTCAAAGAGATTTTTTTAATATAAGAAAAATTGGTATTTTTCATTAATGAAAAAACCTTGAGAATAATGGGACATCTTTAATTGTTATTTATTTATTGAGAAGTCAACGGTCTAGGCCAACTATCGGGTCAAGTCACGCTGCAATATTTACGTGAAGGAAATTCGCACATGAAAGTGTCCAAACAAATATTTTATTTGAATTAAATAATTTTTTCGGCAATTTCAGAAATACTTTTAATGGAAATTAATAAATTGCGATATTTTTTCAAAGAAACATATTTTGTTTAAAATTAATATGACGAACTTCACGGAAATTTTATATAAAATTTCTAAAGTTACAAAATTTATTGAAAAAATAATAATTTTATGAATTTATTTTTTCAATTTTATTTTCATATGTGAAACTTCGAAAAACACCACAATTAGTTGTTATCACTTCATCTAGTGTTCCTGGATCACAAAGAAGTCGACACAAACGTAATTACGTCGTTAGATTTGTGAACGAATCGTTCTTAATTGCACGTACTTAATATCGAATATTCCGAAGGCTCGACAAAAACATAATTACGTTGTTAGATCTGTGAATGAATTACTCTTAATAGCACTTTTGACATATTTCTGAAGACAATCACTGAATAATCACGAACAAATTCCTCTTTATAATTGATTATCTTCAGTGGTTCCTTCCCCTTGAATTATCGGATTTTCTCGAGTTTAAAAAATAGCTTGAGAACAGTTTGGACTACCGCGTGACTGTCGCAGGGGATCACCAAGATCAACTAATGAACGCATACAGCTTCGGAGCGATTACTCACGTGGTCTACGTCAACGAACGTCCATGGCTTCCCGGAGAATTCAACCCCCCCCCCCCCCCCCCCCCCC